GGCCAGAGAGCACCCTTGAACGGGTCAGCCCTAAGACCCAACGTCGAGACAAAAATGCAGCATCGTAAGAGATCACGCCCGGAGCAGTAGATCCCATCGTTCTGCGTCTTCTTCCGAGCCGGATCGATCTGTGAGGGCCCCGGGGCCCGAAAGCAGGCGAGAGCGCCGGGCTCGAAGAGATGGAGAAGCCAGAGGACCTCAGCGAGGGTCGAGGAGCAGCAAGGCAGCACGACCACAGACGCTCCGAGTGGTTCCTGCGGGCTCGTTGGGTCGGCGCCTCCGTGGCCTCTCCCTTCCCGCACGCTCCTGGCGGCGCCTCCAGCGCCGGAGCCCGCCAGAAGGAAGGGGGTCGTGGGCCAGCTGGGGGCCCCCAAAACGGCGCGGTGGCCATAGCGCGTGGTGAGTCCGTGGAGATGCGAGGTGGCCGCACGGTTTGGGGGCGTGGTTCCTTCACTGAGGACGTCTCGAGTGACGGGGCCCTCCAGGGCCCCATACGTTGAAGTCGGGCCTGTCCCTCTATAGGAGGCATATTCAAGAGTAGTCAAAAAATAGTCTGGGGACGATGCTTCGACGATGTTTGGAGTATTTTTGAATATGTGTTGACCATGTTTTATCATTTTTCCTCCAAAATACGCTTGTAGTGGGGGACATGCCCGACCTAAGCATACGTATGCGGTGGCGGTCCGTGCGGCGAGGTCGTTGGCAATTCCTAAGTCACCGCACGTTCTGTCACCGCACAGTTGCAGGGACTCCCAGGAGTATTGGAACCGTTACACGCGGTTGTCCCACAAGTTTGTATGTCCGATGCTTGTGATTGATCGAAACGTTTCTCGGTGTTCCATAAGTGCAACTCCCGCCACAGCGTCATATTTCAGGGGCGGTGCCTTGCTCCAGTGCGGGCCAGACTTCTGGATCCAACTCGTTCCTCGTCGGTGCCACCCCCAGTACTCCCCTTTCCCCGCCGTTCGCTCATCCTCCTGCTCATCCGTCTTAGCCTGTTGCTCCTCCTTATCCTCCTGCTCCTCCCCCTCCTCCACCTTCTGCTCGTCTTCCTCCTTCTCCTCATCCTCCTCCTCCTCCTCCTCATCATCATTCTCCTCCTCCTCCTGCGGCGGCTTTGCAAAAGAATACCTCTGGTGGCGGCCTTACAAAAGGATTATCAGTGTGGCCCTCCCTAGCACCGGCAGAGATGCATAGCACGTAATGAATGTGTATGACGCAGGCGCGACAGGCAACACCATAATAACAAACAAACGCGGCAAGTTCCAAATCTTGGGGACCAAAGACATATACGAACAAAGCTGGTTACAATCCGTCGGACCCCACACCATACAAAAAAAAACACAGCAGACAAAAGTGCTCGTACCGCTTGGATGCCGACCCATATGAGACGTTCAAGAAAGAGCCTCGCAGTCGAGGATCGAAGGAATGATATCATTTCCTCGGCGGAAGGCGGCGGAACGCTGGCGGAAGGTGGGAGTAAAAGGAGGCCGCCTCCGTCAGCGGAAGCTGGTGGAAGCTCGGCGGAAGCCGGCGGAAATAACAATCGCCCCCCAAAACAGATTGCAATACATATATATATATATATATATACATTTCGCTTGCGGCAAACCCCGCCACCGCGCTTGTGCAGCAGCGCCGCAGGAGGGAGATTGAGTATATGAACAACGCAATTCCGACGAACACGGGTCGCACGCGGAAGCCGTCACATCTGACGTGTCGCGCGTTGGTCAGGCGTAGAAGCCGTCACATGTGGCATGTCGGATGTTGGTCACACGCGGAAGTTGTCACATGTGACATGTCGGATGTTGGTCACACGTGGAAGCCGTCACATGTTACATGTCGGGCGTGGGTCACACGCAGAGGCCGTCACATGTGACATGTCAGGCGTGTGAGACGCGGATATTGTCACATGTGATATGTCGGGCGTGGGTCGTACGCGGAAGCCGTCACGTGTAACATGTCAGACGTTGGTCTCACGCGGAAGCCGTGATTAGGACGGGTCGTGATCTTGAGTTCGTCTTCGTCCGCGTAGTAGGGAAGAGGAGGACGCAGAGGAGAGAGAAGACATGAGGATGACGAGGAGAAGGTTTCTTGGGCCTTCTTGGGGCCTCTGGGAGCTTTCCGAAAGCTTCTTGGGGGCCGCTTGGGGGCCTCATGGGGCCTCTTCGGGCCTCTTGGGGCTTCTTGTGCCGTCTCAGGGAACTCTTGGACCGTCTGACGCCTGTGGAGGCGGCCTTGGGAGCCTCTCTAGGCCGTGTTGGCGCCCTCTTGGGGCGGTTTACGGCCGTTTTGAGGCCCTCGTCGGAGCCCCTTGGGCGATCTTTGGATTTTTCTGGGCCGATTTCAGGCCCTGAAAGGGGTCTCTTGGTCTCTTGCACTGCCTTGGATCATCTTGGGCGTCTTGGGTGGTCGGAAACCCGAAGAGGCGAGAACTTCAGAACCAGTCAAAAAGATACGTGGCATAAATGGCGTTGGCCTCCTCGGGCTCTACTGGGGG